CTTGGGCAATGTCCTGAAGATGAGGGAACCTCTGTGCTACTTCAGGAGGTAGGTATCTCCTTCTTGTCATCGGGAAAACTGTCACATTCTACAAGCGTTGGTAAGTGCGCCTCTCTACCATTTGATGCAGATCTTATAACTAGCCGTGAAACTCTGCGACCAAATTTTGTTTCTCCATTGCCGCTGCAAGTTGAAGGGTAATATTTCTCCATTGGACCATCTGCTCCAAGCTTTGTCCATTAGTTCGCTGCTAATAAGAGAACTGTTACTTTGGTCGTCAATAATTGCATATACTCGGGAGGACACATTGGGTTCGTCCGGTTTAACAATGTCCACAAGCAAGATTTTACTACAGGAAATGCCACAGTTATTATCTCCGCATACTGCTGTGCAAGTATTTGTTATCTGCTTGGATGCATCCTCCTCGCCTTCGTCTTGTGTGTTCTTCTCATCTTTGCCACCTTCGCATACTTTTTCTTTGTGTAGCAGAGCAAAGGTGATGATCGTTACCACAAACTGTGCAGCTGATCTTGGCTTTGCATTTCTTGGCTTGATGTCCCTCCCCAAAGCACCGAAAACACAGTCCGGCTCTCTGTATCCACTCGGTTCTTTCACTCAAAGATTTTGCTGCAAAGGCTTTGCACTCGGTCAGACCATGATGGTCACACTTGTGGTATGGGCACCACTTCTTGACAGGAGGTACTGGTGATGGTGGGTCCTGGTGGGCATCCTTTTCGTCGTCCAAGTTTGTTCACAGGGCCTTCCGATCTCTGGGTTGTTCTTTACGTCCTTCAAAGACAGGTTGCTGTAGGCTGCTTGCAAAAATGTTCAGGTGGTTCTTAACTTTCGCTTGAGTGTTTACTACCCGAGTGAAAATATTAAAGCCTGGATATGCATCATGGTGACTTTCCGCATGTTTAACAATTCCTTTTCCCACTTCGTTCTAAGGGATACCGGTAATTTTTCAATGATTGGACGAATAGCTCCAGGGTAGTGCAGACAAGCTAAACCAGGTAGGTTGTCAATTTGACTGTCCACGTCTGCACACAGATCTGCAAATTCTTGAAGTTTGGCATAATCTTTTTCGTGGAAATTCGACGAGCTGTGTAAATGCTCCAACAAGGCATTTGTTATGACGGCTGGGCTTCCAAAACGTGTCTCTAATTCTTTCCAAAGGTTCTGAAGAAGGCTTGTGGGGTCATTATGATTACGTTTTCTAAAATTGTCTACAACACGCTGGACTTCTCCACAAGTGAAACTACGTAGATAATTGATCTCTTGTTCTGCAGTGACGGATGTGTCTTTAATCATAGCTTTAAAAGCTTGTTTCCAGGGGTGGAAGAGTGTTGCATCACCACTGAAAATGTCTGGATGACATTTAGGCAAGTTTTGTCTTGCTAGGCCAGCGGCCACTTGCTGATTAGCTGACATCAACAACTCTATTAATTGACTTCCGGTTGCGTCTCCAATTTGACTAAATTGGGAAATGAATGCCTGGCTAGGTGTTCGATAAGAGCTGTTACTAACACTCCATAGTGGAACTGTACTGCCAATATTTGTGGTGGTGCCATGGGAAACAAGGGGGTCGTGAAGGACACTCTTCACTGGAACTATACCAAGGTTTGTGGTGGGATCATGGGGAACAAGGGAGTCATAAGGGACACTTGTTGCTGGAACTGTACCGCCGAGGTTTGTGGTGGGGTTGTGGGGAACAGTGGGGTCGTAGGGGACATTAACAAAGGGTGAGGGGTTTGTCCCAGGCAAAGCATTTTCTTGTGAGACGACTGAGTTTACCCAGTCATCCGTTCTCTCCTCAACTCCCATCTCCGGAATTTCCGGAATATTGACTCTCTCTCCTAACTCCTCTTCTTGCAATGCTTCTTCAATAGCTTTAAGCTTTGCGTTGGCAATAGCTACTTTCTTGTCTGCGATTAATATTGCCATTTCTTTTGCATGCTCCAATTCTCGCTGGCGACAGTCATGTTCTTTTCTTGTCATCACCCGTTCATATTCTGCGCTTTCACGGGCTGCAGCAGCTTCTGCTAGAGCGTTTAGTCTAGTGTAACTACTTGTTGAGGAAGATGATCGGCGGCTGTGGTGTGAATGTGATCTTGAGCGCCTAGAGGGGGCCTCTGAGCGTCTGTCAGATTGATTAGTTTTCGCTTTTTTAATCATACTATGTGCCTGGCTAACAGTCTGCTCAGCTTCTTCTTTAAAATCCCCATAATTGTCTTGTTCAAACAAACATTTCAGTTCATAAGTAATGAGTTCATACTCATTTGTGACCTGCATCAGTTCGTTCATGTGCCTTTCGATAATATAATCTTCGCATTCTTCGATTTTTTTTAGAAGTGCAATCAGTTTGCTACGTTTACAAATTGCCATTTCAAGTTTGTCATTTACAGTGTCTTGAAAAACTTTATTTGACCAAGTAATTCTCCGCTTTTGACCGTCTGGTACTTGACTTGGTTCGGACAAGTCTTTGTCACCCTGGTTACTCATACTTTATAATTATATGGACAAGAGAGGTTGGTCAGGTTGGATATAGTTTACCTCGAATCTCTTCTGGATAAAGATCAGAATTTTTACTGTTGCGTTCTCAATGCACCACGAGAAGGTTGCTGATGCACCAAGTTCGCATGTATTAACCACTGTGCTGTGTGGACTAGTCCATTTACAAGACTTTATTTAGCAAAACACACATATACACAAGCGCGGTAAAAACTAGGAATAATATAAAGGACAATATGTAAATAAGTGCTGTAACTAAGATAAATCTGTAGAAATGAATAGTATGATACATGACACTCGACTTACTTCTGATTTCTCAACTATAAAAGAATACAAAATCTTTTTAAACAGCTTAGAAAATAGAATACTTCGCCATTTTTGGTTCTTCGAACGTTCTGTCAACGATTCAGAGTAGGCACAGCCAGATTGTGCTACCAAATTTCGAAAAAGTTGCTCAAAATATGTCAAAAAGTTGCTCCAAAATTTCGAAAAGTTGCTCAAAAAGTTGCTCAAAGTGAAAAAAGTTGCTCAAAAGTTGCTCTAATGTTCTTATATTTACAATACACATTTGACATCATAAGTAACAGTAATTCAAACTCTAACATCAAGGAACATATGTACTGTAGTTCCTTTTATATAATTACAAGGTTTATGCCATCAATACGTCCAAACAACAATTAACAAGTGTGAACAGGAACTGTAATGAAAAAATTTATGGAATTTCAATACGATTAGAGAGCCTATTAGAGATCAACCTAGTGCTTTCTTTGAGTGCTGTTATAGCGGACCATAACAGATGCCTCAATGTAATCTTCGAGTGAGTTTCCCTGTTGCGATGACATACTGTTAAGCAAACTAAACACACGTTCAGCAGCAGCAGAGCTAGGCTGGATTAGAAGCAACTTCTTCACCAGAGCTGACCAGTGTGGTAAAGTCTCGCGTTGTGCTGCCCACCAGGTAACTTTTTCATCTTCATTGCCTAAAGTGACGCCATCAACAGCCGCAAGATAATCTGGCAACTCATTAGCTAAGTTGGCTATTGTGTTGTCATTCACGAATGGAAAGTTGCTAAATTCTTCGAGTGCAGCAGGATCTGGCTTTAGTTGTTGGACTTGAACTGGGCAACAAAGACGTGCGACCTTTACAATATAATAATAACGGTAATAATATAATTATTATTAAAATAAATTTAGACTTTTTCTGATTTCGAAATGAATATAACAAGGATAAATCAAATATTAGTTTCACGTAAACATGTAATTCCACAATGAATGCGAGTTAATAACAGGCATACCTTAAAAGCGCGAACAATTGTGTGGAACTGCACGCTGAACTTTTCCTGAAAAAAGAGCAGTCCGGGTTGCACACATGCTTTTGCCTGAGTAATGAGCTGGTTTTGAACCACAACGTCACCGTTGGCAATTTCTCGAGCAATAGCATTTGGAAAATTGGCTACTCCAATGGCATTACTAACAGCTGATAAACGCTCGTAACAGGAGAAAATTTAACGGCCCGTCACCTTCCAAATAGTAGGTTGCCTTGACAAATTGGACACCAGCATCAACAATTACAGCAAGCTCCAAACGGAGATCCTGAAGATCGCGAGGGTTGTCAATTATCTCCAAAACATGTTGGCGTGTTGCAGGGGAGAGATTCTCATTTTCTCACAGGAAGGGCACGACATCACCAAAATATTCATAGACTTGTTTTTGGACCTCCCACTTACTCCACCATCGTGTATTACTGTAAGAGCGCATTGATTGGCCAGTTCTCTCTTTCCAAAGAAGTTTGGCATTATAGCTATTGGCAAACAAACTTATCCAATGGCAAAAAAATATATCCAGAACTCTAAATTTTAAATGGGTTCCCACATTATCAATGGTATGAGAAAAACAAGTAACATAAAAAATGTTAGGATTGTTGCCCCATTAACTGCAGCGCCATCTCTCATTGTGGCGAGTACCATATTTGGACCAAAGTTATGATTTACGGCAAGACACGACATCAATCGCTGCGCTAGTTCTGAACCCTTTAGCGGCTTTGCAAGAACTTCCAAGCATATTAGGCGCTGCATAGGCTTGAAATTCTCCTGCCCATAACGTATCACAATTGCAAGAGCCTCGCCAAGTCGGGCTGTTCCATCAAATATCATAGATACTTTGGATTTCAGCTTTGATTTTCTCCCGTTCTTTCTCGAGTACCGATGGAATGATATCTTTCATGTGGCTAGCGCCGGTTAACCTATATAATCAATGAATATTTAACCACTATTCAATTACACATTAATCATGATACGTGGTGTTGTGTTTTCCACACCTACCCAAGATGCAGCAACCACCACATCGTAAATTTCATTTAACATAAGGTCTTAGAGATCTTTTATCAAATTACAACATTATATTCTAGTGCTAATGTCCCATTTATTACCTGTGCCGAGCATACTTTTCACGAAAAGGACGCATGATGTCAATCTTTGAAATTTCTATACCAGCTAGCAGAAACGTCTCTACTAGTTCAAAACGAAACAGCCTCATATCCTCAGGTAAAGTTGAGCCGCTCGCACGATCGCGTATATCTTGCTTTTTTAAACACTCCAAAATAGTCTGGTTCTCCTTTTTGCTTTTGGCGATGCTTGCAATTCCGTTTACATGTTTTTTCGATTGGATGTGCTTCTCGATGGAACTTTTTTTAATACTAATTATCTCACTGCAGGCATTACATCGTAACTGCCCATTTTCGTTGACGAAATGTTGACCAGGGAAATCTTTTAGTCTGTCCCAAACACAGGTATCATTTTTGGAGTGATTTTTCACACGACTTGCCTTGTATTTCCCACTGTTTTTTACGATTTCCGCTTCCTCGAAATAGCAGCTCGATCAGGCTCTGTAATTTGGCTCCTTTATTTATTGCCAGTTGAATTGGGTTTGCTTGAATTTGACGACAATACGTCCGCCATATTTGATTGACAGCTTTGCGACCACTGATCTATTAGTGTTTCTGGTATATCATCGGCTAGAAGCGCCCGCACTCTGTCAGGGTCAGATGATCAGATCATGGTTAATATTTGAAACAAGTTCAAACAACACAACACTATACATGGCATAATTTTTGCACACGGCGATTCTGGAGGAATTTTGTTTATTCAAGTGGTTCACATTGGAGTATAAATATGTTCTAAGTTATGGTTCCGGACTATTTGTTCAAAGTTGCTAAAAAGAAGCAAAATTTTGGAAAAGTTGCTCGTCAGCAAAAAAGTTGCTCCGAGGCCAAAAAGTTGCTAAAAAGTTGCCGAGCACAATCTGGCTGTGCCTAATTCAGAGCCCACAAATCAGTATGTCAGCGGTAGTCTAGCTTGCTAAGTACGACATGTAAACATAATATCAATTGCATAATAATTAATATATGACAATAACGTCACAATACTCGTGGCCGTTGCTAGGCAACCCGATAAATACACGCTAGACAATCATGCCCGGAAGTTAACATGTCATCGAGGGCGCAATGAGACTTACTCCTTTCCCAATTCCAGGGCGCAATAAGACTTAATGAGTTAATGCTTAAATTGTTAAACGTATGCGTATTTCATTATAACACATTCCATGCAACTATGTTTATTGTGCAGATCGAAGCTCAGTTGTCCTCAAGTTATTTCAAAGAGGAAAACAGCTTGCTGCAGCGAGGAAGAAAGCAGACAAAATGCAAAAACCTATTCATCAAACAAGTCGGACCTGTGCAACCTGGTTTTCCACTTCTCAAGTTCAGGAAATTGCTTTCAAGTTGCACCAGAAGGACAACGATTTTGAAGTCAAGCAGTCAATATGTGGTCAAGATTTTATCGCTGACATATGTGGTTGCGTCAATGTTACAACTCCGGTAATAACCTATCTAGTGGATTTACAAGGCGTTCAAGTTCCCATCTGGAAAGCGGCGGTGTGGTACCCAAAAGTAAGCACAGATAAGAAGAATCTTGAGAAGCTATCGATAGACAATCCCCCAGACACCTGTGTTGATCTCAAATCTAACAATGACGACATCAAGGAATTTATATTTCACAAGCAGGAATTAGTTGAATGCTGGTTAGTCGTTGTATCAGATGTGTGCCATGTCACCGGTGAGGAAAGATTTGAAATTCTAATGTGGAACATGCGACAACTGGAGGATGTACAGAATGATCTGCAACAGTTGGTTAAAGATTTGTTTGCCTCCTTGGAAAGTTGTCATAACAAATGTTTGTCAAGCCTCCAGCATACCCTTACCTGCATGGACATGGACACTCTTGTCAATCTCCTAGTAGGCAAGCGCAATAAAGCATGTGGTTATCTGTCCCTGACACATGAAGATGACTTTGTCGAATATGGCAAAAGGGAGTTCAAGAAATTTTACAATTATGTTTGCTCTCTAGATCATGTAAAAGAACTGGTGGAAAATCATTTTACGGAATTAAAACTAAGGACTGTATATAGTGATGAGATATTAGTCAAGCTGAAGAACAACACTTTGAAGATTATATTGTGGACACCCCTGCATTTGCAAATTCTATCTAGTTAGTTAACATTTTTGACCATAGGGAAAAAGGGTCAGGTAGTTTCATTTGACCGCCAGATTAAATGCATGATGCATCATCATTTGACCAGGACGGATATCAAATTGTGACTTTCATTATGTTACAGGTACTAGAGAACAGTCTTGAATGTGAGGTGCAAAGCCTATAGACTGACTTATATTGCTCTAAATAAGGAGTTTTGTGATCCCTGAACTGGCAGAGAATGAAATGTTTTTAAATATATAGAACATCATATACTTGACAAGAATTCGAACGTTCGCACATACAGTACCTGGGTATTGATGGTTTAATTAGCCTTTCTCATGCTATGCAAACAGGCATTTAATCTGCCATTTTTGGGTGGCCAACCTATTGGTTCATTCAATATTTGTTTGATAAAAACTTAACTGATAATTTTTAATTTTGTTTCCAGATTTATTAATGTTGTTGACATGGCGGTTTTAATCATGGCGGTTAAAATTCAGTACAAAATTTTGACTTTTTTCGAAATAGTTCATGATATTTTCTTTGCGAAATTTAAAAATTTTTGCCTGACATTTAATACAAAGTTAGCAACAATCGCAATGTTGCAAAAAACAACAAAAACTTCTAATTTCTGTTGTCAATAAAATTTGCCACCCAAAAATGGATGATTAGAAGGCCTGAAAATTCTAACTCAACATATCCGTATATCCGGTTAGTGTTCTTGTAGCGTTATAGTAACAGAAAATATCAAAACATTAAAAAGATTTCTTCCATTTCAACGTCTGGTAAACCTATATTGGAGCATCAAATAGATATAATAGATATAAGTGAAACAAGGTCTACTGCAGATAAAACTTTATTAAAACATTAAATTAATCTATTTGTAGTAGCTGTTGACTTCATGTGATATCTTCACTTACCAATATTAGAACAGTTCTTGCATGTGCAAAGTTCAGTACATAAAAGCCCCAATGAAACACAGCAATTATTATGTGCCTTGTCTGGTCTGTATTTTGACTTCCTGCAAGAGCAACTTGTAAGCTCAAGAATACTTTGTTGAGCTGCTTGCCACGTTTGGGCACTGTTCTAACGATCATTTGTTAACGAGAACAGCACATACCAAGCTTTGTTAACTTGGTGACAATCTTACAGTCTGTAAAGTGCACAAATAAATGCCTCCAGAGAATTTACCATCTCTTCTGACACTGTAAAGTTTTCTCCAAGTGCCTGAAATGCTGAACAAAATGTTGGGTTTTGTTGCACAAATTTTAATGGTTTGGCCTTGCCTTTGCCATAAATTGCACTAACAGAGTCACAACTGGTGAAGCAATGAAGACCAATCCGTGCATTTGTGATGTCATCTCGAAGGTGTTGTCTAATCACATGTAGGTCGATTGTGCGCACATTTTCGTCTCTTCCTGTATGAAAGTAGAGTCGGGAGCTTGCGATACCAGATTCTAACGCAACTCCAATCACAAATACATGTGTGTCAGGACTTCTGATGAGAATATTGCTGTCACATGTGCAACCAACATAGCTTGCATGTAAGAACATTCATGTGTGTCAGGACTTCTGATGAGAATATTGCTGTCACATGTGCAACCAACATCGCTTGCATGTAAGAACATTCTTGTGTCGGCCTCCTCGTGTGTGCAATTTGAAAGCTGTGAGACTTCTTTGACATGCAGAGTTCCACTCAAAAGTGATAGTGAATGACATCCTTGGCCATGTGCCATGACAATTGAGACACCTTTCAGGACACTTACATCAATTCTCATCCATGTCTCAAACAGAAACTTCACCAAAGTATCCCTTGTTGTAGCTGTTTGCCAAATACTTCTTCCATTGTTTGGGGACAGGCTGGTCAAACTTTGATATTCTAATCTTTCGGGAACCACTTGCTGCCCTATGCTTTCACTCTGCATTTTTAATGCTTATTTCTGGGTAGCAGTCAGTCACAAAGTGGATGACATTTGAAAATACACTGGTTTCCAAGTACACCAATTCCTTTAGGATTTCTGCCAGAAGACCAATATTCTGTGGCATATTTTTGGAACTGATCTGTTGCAGCATTACCATTCCATCGACGATCCACACACTTCCATTTGGGACCTCGACATGAGATATGTCAGGTGCAGTTTGTAGTACATGCAGTAATATGGTGTTGTTGGTTTTCACATGACAGCCTTCAGAAGTAGCCAATGATAAGGGAAACTGGTTCAAACAGTACAAGAGTATCTGTTGAATATCGATGTCACACATTCTGCCAATGACGACAAGTCTGGACAGGAGCTCTCTGTCGCTTCTTACGTTGACAATCTTCCCCTTCACGACCACTGTCTTTGGCTTAGATGCATCTGAGAATGTTTTCAGCTTCTGCTTTTTCAACTTGTCGTTAATATCAGTCTTTCCTTGCAAACGTTCTTTGCAAAAAGCAATGAATGCGGCATCACCTTTCCTGTGGACTGTAATTAGATCAGAGCAGATTTTTGATGAAGCAATGGTGCCAGAAGACAGATTCACAAGATCACCAGCACCGACTTCAGGATCATTGTCGAAAGGATTTATCATACTTGAGATGGTGTTTGTGATGTTCTGTACGTCCAGTTTATCTCTTTTCATAAGGCCATTTGTCAAGTCCTTACAAATCGCCACTTTCTGTCCTTTGCCTGCCATGTCCTTGCACTGCTGCACACTATGACTGCTCGGTCATGATGAGCTCTAATCCATCGGTTACTGGCTCCTTGGCTGGTAGTAAACCCTGCCATGCCTCCTTTGGTATTGGAGTCTCTATTGGCAGTTTGCTCAATAGTCATATCACAAGCAACACATGAGAAACTGTGTGCATCTTGCCTTTGTACTGCGAAATTGCCTTTCTCCAATTCTTCGTGCACAAATGGATGGGTTGTTGCCAGGTTGATCATTTCAAACCAGTAGACTGGAAGATACCTTGAATAATTGGTTCTGTCATAGGCAAACATCCAAGGAATGAGAACTCTAACAGCTGCAAGATGGAGTGACCATGTACACACATAAAAATGCACAAGTATACACACAACTTGTTACAAGTCTGTTCACAAGCTGTTAACTAGAAAATACATACATGCAGAAACCCTCGCCTTACTGACAAAACCATTGTATTTTCCGAACATGAAGTATCTAAAGTAGTTGTCATGGTAACACGATAATTTTTTAAGAATATTCTTACAAATGCAAAATCGCCTAAAAATATCACTTTTAATTACAAAATTATCAATTTCCCAACATATATATGTTAGTATGCTATTATACGTAATATAAGCTTCAATTTAAGGTAAAATTCAACCACAAACGCTTCGCAAAACGTTTTAAAATGTTCTTTATAAAACTAAATTGCCTTTAATTAAATGGCTTTATCGATAAACTTTGAGTTTGCAATAAAATGATTTCAAATTCTCGCATGTAAATAACTGTGCTTTCTTTTTTATTTAAAAAAAATCAATATAATAAAAAAGGGAATCAATACTAAAGACACACTAAAATTATATGCTGTCTTGTTTAGTTGTTTCATATACGCAAAGGCCGTCGGTTTTAAAGCTATTATAAAATCAGTATTTAAAACAAACTTACCTTCGTTAACATCGGCTCCCTTCTTTTAGCCGATTCTTTCGCCCTTTCTTTTTGAGAAGGCTTTTGAAATTTACAAAATCTTGCAAAAATGAAATAGATTTGCAAGAAATTTATCAATCTTCCACTGATCAAGAAATGTTTGCTATTTCGCTGTCGTCATGCAGTCATTATAATGCAAACTTTAAATTGGACCAATCAGTGTCCATCATTCATGACAGTCCGCCATATTTTTGAGATCAGTGAGGATGACCACCCATCGTTGGTCACCCACGCCCGCGATTATTGATGAACTTTAGACTCCGCTAATGCTTTCGTTTCCCCGGGTGTAAATAGCCGGGGGAATTAGTACCCTCGCATGGCGCGAAGCGCCGTCGGCTCGGGGACAAGATGTAGTCGCAGTGCTTGTCACAAGTTGTCAACAGGTTTGGAACAACTTGTTGACAACTTGTAACAACCTTGTCGAAATTATCAGATTTGTTGCAATGCTGTTCTGACAAGTCTGTGACATGCTTGATATAACAAGATTGTTACAACCTTGTGTTATCAACCTTGTAACATCCTTTTCACATCATGGCTGTAACAAACTCGTTATTACTTGTTAGCACGATCTTGTAACCGGGCTGATCATGCCATCAAGCTTGTTACAAGTTGTTAACAGCTTGTTTCAAACATGTTACAACAACTGGGAACAAGCAGTGGGAGCACAACTTGTTGACAGCTTGTGAACAGACGTGTAACTTGTTTTGCAGACTTGTTACAACTTGTGCGTTTTTATGTGTATATGCTCCTCTCGACAATCGAAGCATCTGTCCCCCTAAAAGGTCCAAGCCAATGTTTTCACATACGATGGCCACTCCTTAGAGCAGAAGCTAGGAACATGGTAGCAGGATAGGTTGATATCAAAAGCGCCGACAAGGAGTCAAACTGCAATAAGTACACAATTAAATTATACTAGAATACTTTATAGTGGTGTAATTTTAAGTTTGCATCATCAACCTGCAAAATTCCTGGCAACCTGCAAAATTCCAACCTGCAAAATTCCCAACCTGCAAAATTCCAACCTGCAACCTGCATTTTGTACCTGCCGGTGACAAAAAGCAGTGATATACAGTAACAGGCCTTGGACTATTCCCCAATTAACCAAAATTTTGAACTCAAGTCTAGACAAAACTTTCATCACAGCTTGAAAAAGCATCATAAAATTAGTAATATTCCAAAGTTTGGTTGCAAAATGTTGTAAAATGCGGATAATATAGCCTTGCAAAGTTTGCAATTTTCAGTCATTTAGATTACAAACGGGAAATGGTTACCACTTCTGTGCGTAATACAAAATGACTGAAAATTACAAACTTCGCAAGGCTATATTATCCACATTTTACAACATTTTGCAACAAAACTTTAGAATATTACTAATTTTGTGATGCTCTTTCAAGCCGTGGTAAAATTTTCGTTTAGGCTAGTCAAGATAAAATTTTGAAAAAGTGGTAACCACTTCCCATTTGTAATCTAAAATGACTGAAAATTGCAAATTTCGCAAGGCTATATTATACGCATTTTACAACATTTTGCAACAAAACTTTGGAGTATTGCTAATTTTGTGATGCTCTTTCATGCTATGATGGAATTTTGTCTAGACTTGTTGAGATCAAAATTTTGGTTATTTGGGGAATGGTCCATTCAATGTTGATGTCTCACATCGACATTTTGACAACACAACAATTAAGTGTCAAGTTTTTCCTCTCGTTTGGCATCGAAGAAAAGACTACCCAATGTACAGGATGATGCCGAGACTCTTGCGGCGAAGAACGAGACAGACCTTCACGATCTTCAGGAATTAGTAGTTCACACGCCTGGCATTTTTGCATGCGAAAACGCTAGTTCGCCATTCATTATGACCTGCGGTATTCTTCAAAAAATGCTGCATAAGCATAATTAATTTGACAAGATGGCGGCCATTTGAAATGGCAATTTTAGTCTTGACGAGGTCTTAAATCAAGATATTTTGAACGACAACTGTGTCGAAGGGCCGGTAGATTATTTTCAGAAAGTAATGGAGGCCCTTGGTAGCTGCACTCGGGAGAAAAGCTGCCAAAACGACGCGTTTTTCGTGGATGAATGTGCCGAGCAAGTTGAAACTTTACTCGAAGCTCATGATTCTCTGGATTAAATGTGCCACAGAAGATGACTAATTCCATAAATCCAGTGCCAATACTACAAAGGGAAGCTCGGCTGTGGCTGGCAGGAATTCGACGGCGGATAGGGGGCAAAACGAGTATCAGAAACCCATATTTATTTACTCAGTTTATCATGTTTTCAATAATCGTAGGAAATGTTCGGGGTTTGTACGGATTCGTTGAACCGTTTTGTTTTCACTGTGATGTCAAGAAGGCTATTGTTATTTATTTTACTTTAATGCGCTTTGTCAACGAGTTATTTGCTTTATTATCTGGGTTGTCCAAGGATGTTGTGCCTGGCTACTTTGGGCAAAGTTTTTCAACTACAGTGTATATATGGATTGGAGAGTGGAATGTCAATGGATTTCCTCAGCATGTTTTCTAGTAATGTCTGAAATATTATAATTCATTAAAGTATAGTCAGGTATATTGCAACAGTTGTGAAGATGTATTCTCTCAAACTCTCTCAGCATTCACATTGACATTCTTAATTATTATAAGAGCTAAATAGCTGATAAATAGTGTATTGGCTGCCTCCATCCCTTCCTTTCTGTGATGGATTGTCACCCTTGGTCCCTTTATACCCAATGACTCTTCACAGCTGTTGCAAACATATCAAAACATTGTTAAGATAATTGGCAATTCTTAAAATGCCCATGCATGTAACTGGTCATTGCTACCAAAATCATTTCTACCTGTCTCCAAAATTATCAGCATGTATGTACCATTATTACATGTATTTATACTGTTACTGTGGCAATGACCAACAAGTAATGGGAATTTCCAAATAGTTGTCCATTTCATGATGTCAGAGTATGTTTCTCTGATGACTGGTTTTCTATAAATACCCAGATAGCAAAGGAAACAACTCAAATATTTTAGTGAAGTGAAAATTAAAAATATAATTTCTCTTTGCAATATTGGTGTTGGAATTTTGAAATGAGTCAACCCTGAACTAAGTGTTGTAGGTTTTCTCTGGGTACTACGGTTTACTCACACGGGAAGAAAAATTTGTTTGAAAAAGGTGTCCACTTTCATGACCATTTGACTGGCACTGCATGCATTTGTTGACCTACAGACAAGGGATTCAAAGCAATACATTTTGCCAGAAGTGATTATTTGCACATTCAGCTTTTTATTTTCTTATCTCAATCAATCTGCAGGCAAAAATCATTGCATAAAACACAAATATAATGATGTGGACATCAACTGATATCTTGTTTTTTTTAAAGAAATACAATGGTTTACATAGGTTATGATATTGTTAGGTAAAAGTAATACTATATACAAATTAGCATAATATATCTAACCCAGAATAAGAACATCTATACAAAGTGAGAGGTGCAA